TTTGCGCAGGGGACATCCATTAAAATTGGAACGAAACAGTGAGCCCCACTTTTCAACTTCAACACCCACAAAACACAGAGCAGCTTCTTCCTGTCCTCCAGCTTCGTATCGGAACCTTCCAAACCACGGCGGGCCTTGCTGATCCACTAGTCACCAATTATGCAAAATGAGAATGAATCTTCCGCTAGAACACGGAAAGATACACCGCCATGATTCTTCCCTTTTGTGCAATGTGGCGAGTAGTGGAGCGCGGCCCGACGTCCAGATGGAACCCTTTCTTTTCAAATTTTAACACCCGCACATGCACTGCAATACATTGGGCCTCCCTCCAGTCACCAAATGACCAGATACAGGTATTCTGTTCATCCGATAGTACCTAGATTCGAACCGGAGTCTGTATCTCAACAGTCCATGGGTGTGCCCACTCAGCGTACGACTTCCAGAAAACACCTCTTGAAATACCAACACCTGCCTGTGTCAGAATGTACGTAATCAGCATCAAAGCACACCTGCAAACCATGCACTTGCCTATCTCCACCATTCAGGTACGCTTTGATTTTCTTTACAAAAGCACTCATTAATAATTTAATACATTATTATTACGCCAGAGAGCTATGCTTGCCGGGGTCCCCTGTATAGCCTTAGGAGTAGTGGTAGAGTAGTGGTAGGTAGGTAGTGAAAGGCAAAAGATACGTTCCATGACATGGCAGAACGCGCAAGTTAAACCACCAGAACTTGGCCCAGCTATCGGACGCGGAAAAAAACAGAGTAGAAACGTTTATAATCGGGATGAATTTGGGCGCTCCTGTAGTGGCCGGTACGTTTGCTAAAATCGTGGCGCGTTAACAGGCACGGCGTTAGGTAAGTACTGGCGGTTTAAAAATATGTGAGGTGAGAGAAAAATATACGGCTGTCCCCCGACGAGGAGAAGGCAGCTTATTTAAAAAAAAAAAAAAAAAAAAAGGGTCGAAAAGGTGGGGCCAAGGTTTCTCCAGACTTCAGAGTAGAGTTACTGAGGGCATACTCACACGGTGACCTGGTGACTTAGATCCCAAAATTTGAGGCAGTTTTCGGGTCACATTGGAGAGGCCCACTACCCAAATGTACTTTTAGGTGACCTTTTTGGCAGCAGCCTGTGGGCCTGCGGAAGGACCCTTTTTGAGACCACCTCCAGAGGTGGTCTCAAATTACCTTTTCGACTTTTTGATTTTTTTTTTCTCTCCGTGAGGTATTTCAAGAAATTTGTGCACGAGGAAAACAGTCGTGAGTGTCAGTTCAGCACTCGGAAAAAAAAAAAAAAAAAAAAAAAAAAAAAAAAAAAAAAAAAAAAAAAAAAAAAAAAAAAAAAAAACTCTACATATTTTTAGGGTAAGCAGTGTGACTACGTGCACTTCCCGGGAGGTGCAGATGTCAGGGCCGCGACTGTGTCCTTAATGGACAGAGATCGCGCATGGGACCACACGGGCACCCGAAGGATCAAATACATGGTACCAAACGTCCCCGTGCGAGTATGCCCTGAGACAAGTATCTTGACCAGCTGCATTCGGACGAGTTCGCGCGCTTGATGCTATTCCACTGCCCAAGACCGACTCCGGTTGCTGCTATATGCCATTGCCCAAGAAAACCGGCACACTCGGGCGTGGTGCTGAGCCCATTGCTACACAGAGAGTCCAGTTGCTGCTATATGCCATTGCCGATGACGGCCAGCAGAATTAACAGCAACAATCGCATTTGACTCGGGCGTGATGCTATCGGCACATTGCCCAAGACGGACAGCAGAGGAACACCAACAATCATGTTATAGACTGGGGCGTGATGCTATCGGCAGGACACACACGGATGCATGGTTAGTGCAGACCAAGGACAGCCCACTTCCACTTCAATCGCTCAAGCCACTCACTTACATGGTTCAGCAATTGGCCTCCCTCCACTGCACGAAACTCTACATGCATTGGGATGCCTTCTAGAGCGGGCGCACTCCAAGTGTTGGACTCGTCCGAATGCATCTGGTCTAGATAGCGTCCAGAAGAAGAAAAGTGGGACATTGATAGTGTTTGGAAGTGACAAAAAAAAACACAGTTGAACCGTTTGCACTGATCCAGATGGGAATCCCGAAGACGGCCAACCGACATGGAGGGGAGGAGAAATGCACACTCCCATAACGTTTTTGAGCCCAAAGACCCACCCATATTCACAAACGGAGGAATGGCTGCCAGCCATAAAACGACAGAAAGGGAGGCTTATCGGCTCACGGGATTACGACCCCCCCCCCTAAATACCAAGTGCTACCCTAGTAATACTCCGCCAATGAAATGGCAGAATTGAGGGGTCGTACATTTCAGGTCAGGCCTGTGAGTGACCCACATTGGTCCCACATATAAGCCTATATAAGCTGTTGCTATGCGAAACACTACAGGCACAGTTTGAGTCTGTTCTGTTGCCTCAGATTTCGCCTTTCAGAGGGGATGAAAGTGTTTCTTTTCACTGCGAACACCGAAACCAGCGGGAAATACAAAAAACAGGCCATCGTCAAAGTTCCACAGCAAGAGCGCACATGGCACAAACAAGCATACCTGTTTTGCCTCAACAGCCGTTGTGTACTCTTTGCCAAAACTCAGTTGTGTGATGGAAACATCATCAAGGGCAATGTTGAAGCTGGCGGCTCTCTCTTCAAGGATGCGCCGAATCTCACGGCTGACAACTTCTCGCTGCGTAATCAGCTGGCTGGCGTTGTACTGCGCAACGACTGCTTTCAGTGTCTCCTGCACAATTGATGGGAGCACTCTTTCTGCGTAGTCGAGACCAAGCGTCCGGTAGATATGTGGCAATTGATCTGCCATAGGCCGAGTAAGCACCCGCAGAGTAATCCTCACCTGCAGGAACAAAGCAATTACATGCAAACAAGACAACCGCAGCGTGTTAGTCACACACACACACATGCACGGGCATGCGCACACACACACACATGCGCAGGCGCGCGCACACACACTCACATGCGCGGGCGCGCGCGCACACACACACACACACACACACACGCACACACACGCACACACACCAGCCAGCCAGACAGACTATGGGCAAGAAAACTGTCTATCAAGTTGCTTGATGGTTTAGGTGTACAGCAGTATGTGGAAACACATGTACAGTACACCAGAAAGGCACCGGTAGCCAGACACAACGTACGTGCAGGCTCATGCGTGTGCGCACATGCACACAGAGTTAAAAAACTGATTATCTTTGAATGGGTTAAGGGATGACACTGGGTCATTGTTTTAGTGCACACACAATAGCAAATACGGCAACACACACACACACACATACGGATGCATCCATGCACACCCAAAAACAAGGGGAAAAGAAGGTTTGGGACACACAATGATGAAGCCTCTGCCATTGTGCGCTCACCCACAGCTCCCATCCATCCACGCCAACCATCCCTACACTCCATTTTTTTTCCTGGCCAAGAAGGAGATGGAAATCCTGTTACTGCCTGTTCTGCTGTTTGTTTGGAAGGACCCCACCCCAACCCACCTCAACAAGTTTGAGGTCACCTATTGCAGAAAGGCGCGCGTGGCCGTATTCCGTGTGTAGGGGGTGGGACTCATCACGATCCTCCCGCAAGGGAAGAGAAAACATAGCACGTTCCAAAAGCGCTGTTGAGGTTTTCGCGTCACTATCTTCTTGATAAATAAAATAAGATTGCCCAAGGAATACAGCGCGCGCCCACTGACGTTTATGCAGTTGAACCCGTTCTGGTCCAACTGGCGCTTTACGGCAACAGGCTCTTTCTCTCCCAGAATCACTGGCCACCATGTTTTCCGCCACGAATGGTCCTTTATAGACCCATGTGCTTCTTTCCTGAAAAGCACTAACTGTTACTGAAGGTATCTGCAGCCTCAAAGTTCCGTGCCACAGCCTTCAACGGCGGGAGGGGGAAGGGGG